TAGTTCCTCTTTGTTTTTGTAGTTTCTGCAATTACTCTAGGATATATACTCATGTCTGAAGATTTGGAACTAAGAGCCTCCCTTTATAAAGAACATGTAATAATTGTCTTTCTGGGTCTATTTCCATCCATTTACCTGAAAAAATAGTGATTTCATTTTTCTTCATATCTGAATAGTATTCCATAGTGTATATGTACTCATATTTTCATTATCCATTCATCGGTTGAAGGAAATTTACGTCAGGTTGTTTCTATTTCCTAGCTATTGTGAATAGAGCAGCAATAAACATGGCTAAGTGCCTGTGGAATAGGTTTTCACATCCTTTGGATATATGCCAAGGAATGGTATAGTGGGTCATATGGTAGTTTTATTTTTAGCTCTTTGTGATTTCTTCACACTGATTTCATAGTGGCTTCACCCACCAACATTTAAAAAATGTTATTAAAGATATGGTACACTATAAATTTGCATATCATCCTTGTGCAGGAGCCATCCTAATTTCTCTGTATCCTTCCAATTTTAGTGTATTTGCTGCTGAAGTGAGCACTGTTACTTTTTGAGACAGTTTCTCAGTATATAGTCCTAGTTAGCCTGAAACTCCCTGTGCAGACAAGAATGGCCTCAGACTCACAGAGATCCATCTACCTCTGCCTCCCAAGTGCTAGAATTACAAGTGTAAAAGTGTGTGCTACTGCGCATGACCATTTCAATAAGTTCTAACTTTAAATTCTTTTTGAGTAATTACAATCTCTTTGTAATTCAGATTATACTTGGTTTTCCAAGGCCCTATGGTACATTCTGAGTTATTTGAAAGCTCTGAGTTTTCCCTATTTGGCAAGGTCTCATGTTTCTCAGTCTGGGCTTGAAGTAACTGTATAGCTGAGGATGACCTTGAACTTGTGATCCTTTGCTCTCTAATTCCCAAGTACTATGATTATAGGTATATGCCTTCATGCTGAGTTTTTATGTGCTATTGGTGATTAAACATAGGGCTTTACACATGCTGAGCATATACCCTACCAAATCAGCTAAATCCCCAGCCCCATCTGATATATGCAATGCAGCTACTTAGCTCAGGACTACTTAGCCTCCAAGTTTTGGTATGTTGTATTTTTATTTTCATTCACTTCTCTGATGTTTTTATCCCCCCCCCCTGATTGATTTTCAGTGATCCATTCATCATTCCACAGAGTATTTTCCTTTCCTTTTTTTTTTTTTTTTTGATTTGTCTTGATTTTTGAGACAGGGTCACACTATGTGGTTTTAGGTGGCCTGGAACTTACTGTTTAGCTCTGGCTGGTTTGAGACTCATAGAGATTGGCCTTCTTCTGCTTCTCTGTCTCTCCAATGCTGGTATTAAAGGTGTGTGCTGCCACACCTAGCTTAGAGAGTGTTTTTAATGTCTGTGATTTTGTATGTGTTCTATTGTTTCTCTTGCTATTGGTTTCTAGTTGTAATCTATTTTTGTCAAGAAATTTCTTTAATTTTCCTATATATATTAAGACTTACTTTGAACTAGGCAGTGGTGGTGCATGCCTTTAATCCCAGCACTCGGGAGACAGAAGCAGGCAGATCTCTGTGAGTTCAATGCCAGCCTGGCCTACAAAATAAGTTCTAGGACAGTCAGAGATGAAACCCTGTCTCGGAGGTGGGGGAGCCTACTTTGTGTCCTATTGTTACTGTATAGTCTGTTTTAGAGAAAGGCCCATGAGCTGCTGAGATAACTACATTCTGCTGTGTTCAGATAGAATTTCTGTAGAAAACTTTTAATTCCATTTGATCTGTGATGTCATTTAACCCAGACATTCCTCTCCCCCAACACACACCTTTTTAAATAAAGATATTTATTTGTTTGTGAGTAGGGTATTAAAGGCACCTGTTATTGTTGTTTGGATATTATTGCCTCCTCCACCCCCTAATTCCATTTGCTTAGAATACCTTTTTCCCTCCTTACACCCTAAGATTGTATCTGTCTTGGATGCTGAGATGTATTCCTTGGAGGCAACAGATGGATAGATCCCATTTTTAAATCAATCTTCTTATCTGTCTGTTGGTTGAAGAATTGAGACATTAGTATTTTTATTACTGAAATATGTTAATTCCTGTTATTTCTATTCCAGGTTTGCTTAACTCTGGCTTTTCTATAGCCTTGTGGCCCTGTTTATCTTTCTCTTCAGGCCGAAGGATTCCTTCATGTGTCTTCAGTGTAGGTGGTTAAGTGGTTATGAATTCTTTTATCCTGTTTTTATCACAATTAACTTGTCTTTCTACTTCAATTATGACGGTTTTGTTGGAAGCAATAGTCTTGGTTGATTGTTGTCTTTCGGAGCTTGAAATGCATCATTGTATAAGATGGCCTGACTTTTAAAGTTTTTGTTTAGGAACCTTGTATTATTTAAATGAACCTTTATTTATAGGTGACTTTGTGTGTTCCTTCTTGCAGTTATGTGTTTGTGTACACACTCATACACAAGTGCTTCTTTCCCTTTACCATCTGGGTCCTGTGTATCCAACTTAGGTTGCCAGAATTGACAGCAGATGCCTGTACTGGCTGAGCCATCTCTCTGTCTTCATATTAATTTATCTTTGTCATTGTCCTGTGTTTCAGTTCCTTCTACCTTGTCTTTAAGCCATGATAGTTTGTCCTCCTTTTGATTCACTCTATTGGTAAGACTTTTTAAGGAGCTTTTAATTTGACTTATTGAATGTTTTTTTTCCAGTATTTCAATTTGTTCTTTTATTTTAGCATTTCTAACATGTTGGATTCTATTTTCATATAACCTCTGTTTACTTATTTCATTTAGCTGTTTGTGTATCTTGAGTATTCTGCATTGTAACCTTTGTCTGCATTCACACTGTCTCTGACCAGGTTTCTACATAGCTGGGTACTAAGAGGTTTTGATGCAATATTTCTTCACCATAGTGTAGAGGTATTCTGCTGGCCAGGTTCAGCCTATGGTTCTGTAATACTTACTCTCAGTTTGCAGGGGGTGCAGATCATGTATTGTTTGAAGACTGCCAAGCCATCAAGTAAATCAGCAGGGGTCTTTTAAACTGATATTCTACAACTTTCCAGTTCATTGCCAAGGAAAAGGTTTGCTTTTTTTCCCCCTTCCCCCGGAAACTCTTTTCTCAGCAGCCACCATGCATGACTTTTGTCTCCTTTCTTCCATCTTTCTTTTCTATTATAAATGTCTTTTACTGGGATTATTGTGCCAGTTTTTAAGGCACCCTGTCTTTTAAGTTTCAGTGATCACTCTAACAGAGCGAACAGAATTCCCCAGACTATGCTATCCCTTCAGGTCAGATTGTATGTTTTCTGTTCTGATTTTCAAGGCTTTCTATTTTACTTTGAACTAGACTAGAGATTTTTGTGGCCATCACCCATCTCTTCTGATAGCTGTTAACTAGCTTGCCCCAGATTATTCCCTAGATAATCTATGAGACCAAGCCTACATGATGTCCACCGTCTTGTCTATTATCTCTCGTTTCACTTCTTCATTCATTTTTGTCATCTATTGCCCATCAAATGAGTCATCATCAGTGATACCTCTTGCTATATATGGCACCATGATCCCTCTTGCTATATATGGCACCAGATGCCAAGGCTCCTATGTAGGCATTTGTTAAGTAAAAAATTAAAAAATGAATCAGGCACAGGTGCACACCTTTAATCCCAGTACACAGGAAGCAGAGATGGGCAGATCTTTTGTGAGTTATGTAAGATGACCTTGTCTCCAAAAATGACAAATAAAAATAAAATAAAGCCAAGAAAGGAATATGTTTATAAAAACACATTTATGTGTATAGTAGGAAAAGTAGTGTGTGTGTGTGTGTGTGTGTGTGTGTGTGTGTGTAATGTATTATATATCACTGATCCTAGGTTGCCCAGATTTGCTAAAATCCCTGCCTTGCCAGCCTATATTAATTTGGGCTAAACATTGAAGAAGGAAATTTATAATTATGATGATGTTAATTGACCCCAATGTGTATAATGAATTGTTTGTTAAAAGAACAAAACAAGCCTTAACTTACCAAATGTTGACTATTAGTCAAAAATTGTTACGACCCCATTCACAACAAAGGATATCATAGATTATTTATGTAGGTGATGCTGTCTGTGTTCCTTATCATCTACATTCCTGACCCACCACTACTCATTATATACAGCTGTCCTTTGTCCAAAAGGGATTTCTAATCTTTAACAGTCTTTGGCTTACCATTTTTTAAAAAGGCATTCACTTTTCTTTTTTAGATATATTTTTAATAATATGTGTTTGTGTGGGTATGTGCACATGATTGGAGATGCCCATGGCATCAGCTGCCCCTGGAGCTGGAGTTACGGGAATTGTTAAGATGTCCATGTGGATGCTGTACCCTCAACTGCTGAGCCATCTTTTCAGCCTTTCCATCCCCCACCTTTTTATCATTTCATTTTCAAATTGTTTCCCCATTAATTAATTACAAGCCTGTCTGTTTCTTCATTCAGTGCTCACATAATACAACAGGCTTTTAGAATATACTACTTTCCAATTTATCTCTTAAGATTTTACTCTTTCTAATCTGATCATTAATCTTTCTTTTAAGGTAATACCTCAGTCTGATGCTATCTTACCATATATGGATTTAGATGTGGTTTTTTTTGTTTTGGGGGTGTTTTTTTCTTGCTGTGTGTTTGAAACAGGGGCTCACTTTGTAGATCAGACTGGCCTTGAACTTTCCATCCTTCTGACTCAGCCTTATGAGTGCTGTGAGATTACAGCACTCTTATGCCTGGCTTTACCACATATTTAAAATGAATACTGCTTTGCCTTGGTTCTTACTATCCCATCCATCCTTAGGAACTAATTCAAGTTCTGAATACTCTTTTCCTTTTTCTTCTTTTGGTTTTTCTAAACAAGATTTCTCTGTATAGTCCTGGCCCTCCTGGACTGAGCTGGCCTTGAACTCAGATCCTTCTGTCTCTGCCTCCCCCAGTGCTGAGATTAAAGCCTTGTGCCACTACCACTTTCAATTTATGAATTTTTGTGGGGGGGCAGTGACATAGGGTCTCTCTATGTAGCTCTGTCTGCCCTAAAACTCATATGTAGACCAGGCTAGCCTCAAACTCAGACATCCACCTGCCTCTGCCTATTGAGTTCTGATGTTTAAAGGCATGCACCACCACACCCGGCTCAAGTTCTGAATTCTTCATTCAGCTAATCAAAAAGTAAGTTTTCAATATGTAGCTGTTTGCCAAGAACTTTTTTAGAAACCAAAGATTCACCATAGATTAAGATAGCTAAACACAAAATGCAAAATGCCCTTTTTATTTATTTTTGTTTTGTTTTTATTTAAATTTGAAGCAAGCTTGTTTTACATGTGAATCCCAGTTCCCTCTCCCTCTCCCTCTCCTCCTCCCCTGCCCCCCACCGATCCCCTATTCATACCCCTTTCTGCTCCCCAGGGAGGGTGAAGATTCCTCTGCGGAATCTTCAAAGTCTGTCATATCATTCAGAGCAGGGCCTAGGCCCTCCCCCGTGTATCTAGGCTGAGAGAGTATCCCTC